TATAGGTTTTAAGTTATGTTGTAATGTTGAGAGTTAGATCACGTAGAGGATGAAAAGATATATATATATATATATATATATATATATATATATATATATATATATATATATATATATGTGTGTGTGTGTGTGTGTGTGTGTGTGTGTGTGTGTGTGTGTGTGTGTGTGTGTGTGTGTGTGTGTGTGTGTGTGTGTGTGTGTGTGTGTGTGTGTGTGTGTGTGTGTGTGTGTGTGTGTGTGTGTGTGTGTGTGTGTGTGTGTGTGTGTGTGTGTGTGTGTGTGTGTATGCGCGCGTGCGCGCGCGCACGTGTTTGTGTGATTTTCTATGTGAGAATCAAATTATCCTCTCTCAATTTTAGGGTTGAGATATTTATAGTTGCATTGAGTCTGAATCATAAACCCCTTGGAAATAGAAACCAACTCTAAGAGAAAGTGGGAGGGGATAGTTATTACTCTATTGTTTATGAGAGTGTGGATAACTTCCATATGACTCCTTTCACGTCGTAGCAGATTATGTACACGTCACTCTCCCCTTCTCTTTTAGGCAGATTATTTTAGAGACAAACAAAATAATTAATAAAGGGGTGACATATCTAATAAACAGACGGTCATACTTGTAAATGGGTGATCACATAGACTCAAAGGAGAAACGACACCTTACTCGCCTCCTTCTTCGTCTCTCAAAGGTCCATTACAAATACACCACTACAAATTTCAAACTATTCTTACCAGTTCTTCTTGGTCTCTTAAGACAAGTCATCAATTAACTTTTAGTCAAATCCTTTGTTTGGCACCCCTCTCGTGGATCTTTGAATATCCCTATAAGTATTCATATACATATGAAAACTCATGTAAAAGTTTTCATTAGCAATAAAAGATTTCATTAACAATAAGCATCAGAGTATCCTTATTGGTATTTCAAATGCTTGTCCCACTCTAAAGAAAAAAAATCTGATTGTAATTCCAATTGATCACCTCAAGGATAAACTAGTTTGGAATCATTCCACCATAAGTGATCTAACTTTGAAGGATGTTATTTTGTTTCACAACATCATTGCTCAACATTGCACATGAGGAAAACTAATATGAAATCATCATATCCTACCCTCAAAATCTTTATTATCTTGGAAATTGACATGTAACAAACTCTCAATAAATGATACTCGAGTCTTAAAGGTTGTCGCATTCCATCCATATGCAACTTATGTGAATTCAACATAAAAACTTCCACTCATATATTTTGCTAATGTATCATGGTATCTAGATATAGACTTGGTTAAACTCTCTTATCAACATCAACTTTAAACATGATACAACCTTTGATTTTTGAGAAATTTGCAACAAAGCTTGGCCTCTTTAATGTAAATTGGTCACCCTCTCTGCAACTCTTAATTGCATTGCTGCTAATTTGGTTATGTAGAAATTAACTAAGGTTTAACAACATGAAGTCAGTTGGAACTCGTTAGTGAGCATGATTCTCTCCAATGTTTCTCTTTCTTCTAATACATATAAGGTGTATTCATCAAGATCCATCTCTAATTTTCTAATAATTTTGAAAGCTTTTGATGCTTAAATCATTCTCATAAGACCTCCATAATTAAACATGTCACATGAGATCCTCATATTCCCTATTGAATCAAGTTCAGCATTGATGGATCAACTTTTGGCAGCCCAGGTCTTGCCGTATTTCCAAAAACTCTGAGTCAATGTTTTTAGGTTGTTTTGTAGTCAATTATGATCAATCTTATGCTTTCCATGTTGAGCTCAAAAGAGCAATGTATGCCATATAACTTGCATTCAAAAGAGTTTGGCATAATATTTAGTTAGAAATTGATTATAGACTAGTTACTTTAACTTTCAAATCTACTTTAATTTTTTTTTTGAAATTAGGAATAAATGATTGAAACGTCTTTATTTAACTCATTGTTTCTCCTGTGTGATTTTACGTATTTTTAATGTAATAACTATGCGAACAAATTAGTCATAATAGATCTACATCTACATCTCCCATCTTATTTTTGGTAGGATAATGTTTCTGTTATTTTTAGACAATTATATGCGTAATAAGCCCGATAATGTTTCATTTTTGAGGATATTAGTTTATGTCCCTCATTTTTTTCTTTTAATATATTGTTATGACTATTTCATATTTATAAAAAAAAAAGGAAACACATTAAATATTTGCAGAATCATTTTATTGCATATAAATTTTTTGGATTTTTTATAAATAACCACATTTTTTTTTAAAATTAAATACCAAATAAACAAATGTTTCAATTTATTACAAAAATAACCATGTTTCAGAACGAAGGAATGAGGAGTCGTCATTGTGATTGACGAATGCATTCTCTTTAACACATAGACGTCATTTCAAATAATTCATGCTTGTATGTGTCACTATTGGAGATGACGCATACATTCATGCATTAAGTGCATGCACCATTTCAAATGGCGCATCATTTATATTTTATTATTTTTTGTATTTTAATAATTTTAATTATTTATAATGCATGCACCAATCCAAATGGTGCATATGTATCATTCTTCAATGCATGCACAATCTAAATGATGCATATGTATCATTTTTCAATGCATGCGCCAATTCAAATGACGTATGTTTTTTTAGGATGAATATAAGACAATGCAAATGACGCCTATAAGTGTAGTATGCATGCGCTATTTTGATTGGTGTCTTCTCTTCTTCTCCACGTCAAACATGATTAATTTGATAATTAATTTGAGGTGATGGTTTTTTCGTATATTATTTAAAAATAGTGGTTATTTAATAAATAAATATTTTTTTTTATAAAAGCAATTTCTAACGAAAAAAAGAAAAACATGTTACAAAAATTTCAATTACATAATATTTGCTCAAAAAATAATTTTACTTTATCTCCTTAGATCAAATTTATCTCCTTAAACTATATCTATAATTTTTTATTTATTTATAAAAAACACAATAATTTATATTTTCTCGTGTCCTATTTATAATTTTTTAGATATATTGAATACTTAACATAGCTAAACAATATATAAGTCATATATAAAGTAAATATATCTTTTATTCAATAAATTTAAAAATTAATTTTTTTTATAAACAAGACCAGAAGTAATATACAAACTTTTAGGGTCTGTTTGGTTCAAACGAGGGGGAGGGGAGAAGAGAGATTTTAATGAAGGGGAGGGGAGGGGAGGTGAGTGATTTTTAAATCAGATAAGTGTTTGATTCAAAAGAGAGGAGGAGAGAGATTTTAATTAAAAATGTGTTTGGTTCAGAAGGGAAGGGGATAAGTTTTATTAATAATTTACATTTTTATCCTTATGATCTTATATAAGTCATATGATATTAAAATGTAAAAAATTCATGATTATTTTTGTTGGTAATAAAATTTCTAATATTGAGTGATTAAAAAAGTATTTATTTGTCACATAAAATTAAAAAATTGAGTACAATTGATTCGACTTATAATTTTCTAACATAAATTAAACTATATGTCAATAACATCGTTTAAATTGTTATGAATCATATAACAAAACAAATATATAAAATAACTTATTATTAAATATTAATTGGTTCAAAATATTTAATAAAATGAATAAATAAAAATAAATAAAATAAATAATTTACAATTTAATATAAAAGAAAATATGATATAATACATAACAAAATTAAAAGAAAAAAACGAATATAACTAAACATAATTTTTTTTTATAAAAAATAGATAATGATAATGATTTATATTAAGTATATAAATTATAAAATAATTTGAAAGTGGAGAATAATTATAATAAGTTGATGGAAACAATCGAAAAAAAGTAATAACACGAAAGAAAACGAATAGTTTTGAAATACTAAAATTAAACTGAAGATATTTTAGTAAATATAATAATTTTTAAATATCAAAACTCATATTCTCTCCCCTCCCCTCCAAATTCCCCCAATTCGGAGAGAACAAAAAGATGTGTTTTTGAGGGATTTTGCTCCCTTCCCCTTCCCTCCTAAGATTTGAGCCAAATATATTTAATTAAAAATTTTCCCTCCCCTCCATCTATCCCGAACCAAACACACCCTTAAGATTGAATTTGTGGTGATATTCAATATAATTATATAATTATTTTAAAGTCAAATAAAATTTGTGGCTCACAAAGTCACATATTTAAAACTATTCTCTTAAAAATATGTATATTTTGAAAGTTAAAAATTTATCTTTTCAACACAAAAGTCTTTTACATTCAACACACCTTTTTATTTTACATGCTTTTACCCTCGCAAACAAACAATTTGAAAACCCCAAGAAAGAAATAGACCGTCCTTGATGAACTCAACCCTTTGATTCTTCATTATCAAACCAAATCTCCAATTATTATTTAAATAGTTTTTTTTTGGGTTTTTCATTTTAAATATCGCACCCAAAAACCCCACAAATTTTTCTCCCCCTTTCTCAATCTTTGGTCTCCCCTTTTTTCCCAACCGAAACACAACACAACACAACACACTCTTTGGTCAACCTAGTCCTCACTTTCTCGAATCAACTTCGTCACGGTTCTTTCCTGCGTTCATTTCTCAGATTCCACAAAAAAAATAAACAATTAAATTTTAATATTTATGTTTTATAAATGAACCGTGAATGGGTTTTTCTGTTTCTTTATGTTGCTCTTAGATCTGTTCGTGTCTGTTCTCGATCTATTTGTGTTTATTCATGAGGTTAGATCAAAAGGTTTTTATGAAATTGATTATTTTTGTGGTTTGATCTGCACCCTTTGAGCTAAAGAGTGTTTTTTTTGGTTCGTTTTATGTTACTGTTATTGGAAAAATCTTATGGGTTGTGTCATTTTGTGGTTAGGAATTTGATGATGATGCATGGTCAAGTGAGTGATAATGGGGTGGTTGTGGGGTTTGATGGGTTTTTAGGTACTTGGGTTTCTCGTTTGTATTTGTATTTGTTGAGGGTATTGAGGTTTAGGTATCTGGCGGGGTTGTGTTGTTTTGCTCAATAATAATGGGTAACGGCACTTCTCGTGTTGTTGGTTGTTTGGTGCCATTCAATGGTAAAAATGGTGTTGATTTGGAGTTTTTAGAGCCATTAGATGAAGGTTTAGGCCATTCTTTTTGTTATGTAAGACCAACGTTGTTTGAATCTCCTGCTATTAGTCCGTCGAACTCCGAGAGGTTTACGGTTGATTCAAGTACACTTGATTCGGAAACGTTGAGTGGTTCGTTTAGGCATGATAGCATGGAGGATTCTAATTCTTCTGGTTTGCATAAGCAGGCTAAGAATTTTCCTGAAACTACGTTTAAAACGATTTCGGGGGCTTCTGTTAGTGCTAATGTTTCCACAGCAAGGACTGGTGGTAACCAGAGTGCATTGTTTGCTGGTGATTTCTTGGAACCTGCTGCGTCGTTTGAGGGAACTGCTTCGTTTGCTGCGATTCCTTTGCAGCCGGTTCCTCGTGGTTCTGGACCTTTGAATGGTTTTATGTCTGGTCCTTTGGAGAGAGGCTTTGCTTCTGGTCCGTTAGATAGAAGTGGCGGGTTCATGTCCGGGCCGATAGAGAAAGGAGTTATGTCAGGTCCTCTTGATGACACTGATAAATCGAACTTTTCGGCACCTCTTGCGCGTGGTCGCAGGAGGCCACGATTACAGCATCTCATGAGAAGTGTTAGTGGACCGATGAAGAACACGTTTTCTCGAACTTTCTCTAAGCATTCCATGGGTGGAAGTTGGATGCAAAGGCTATTCTTTCAACCGGTTACTCAATTGGCATGGCATTCTAGAGAGTCGAAGTGTAAGCCAGAAGTGTCTAGGAACTGTGGTATTGATGTTGGTTCATATGAAGCTGAGTATAAACATACACATAATTTGCAGTGGGCTCAAGGAAAGGCTGGTGAAGATAGGGTTCATGTAGTTCTTTCGGAAGAACAAGGGTGGTTGTTTATTGGGATATATGATGGTTTTAGCGGACCTGATGCACCTGATTTTTTGATGAGCCATCTTTATAGATTTCTAGACAAAGAACTCGAAGGCTTACTTTGGGATTATGAAGATAATCCTGTTGACGTACTTAAACCTGAAGTCCCCGAAACTGTAAAACCTACCGTTGCTCCAGAATGCAGTACGAAAGAAATGTCTGAGACTCATACTAAATCTAATCATGAATGTTTTGAAGCTTCTTCTTGTCCTGAATTAACCAAGGATCAATCATTTAACAGTGAGATAGTTGAAGAAAATGCTGAAGTTAATGTAAATGTTGAACACCAGTTATCTAATTGTGGAAGTAACTCTACTGATTCTAATTCTGTTCAACATGGAAAGTTGACCGGGAAAGGTAGAAAAAGTTTGAGGCTTTATGAACTACTTCAAATGGAATCTTGGGATGATCAATGTAATGATTCTTCAGTTCTGGAGGAACCAAAACTAGACGGGCATATGAGATCTTGCTCGTCTAATGCAAGAGAAGATGGCTTTAGACATCAAGACGAAGGTCCGTCTACATCAGGAGATAATGGAGGCACTAGGTTTGATTCAACCAATGAGGAGCACCAAGCTGTTTTTTCTGTATCGAGGCAGAATTCAAAGAAGTCATTCAGCGCAAAAATTAAAAAAATGTACAAAAAGCCAAGGTCCTTGTGTAAGAAACTTTTTCCTTGGAGTTATGATTGGCACAGGGAGGAAAGCAGTGTTGATGAAAAAATAATAGAAGCCTCGGGACCTATTAGAAAATGCAGGTCTGGAGTAGATCATAATGCAGTTTTAAGAGCAATGGCTCGAGCCCTTGAAAGGACAGAAGATGCATACATGGAAATGGCGGAGCATAATCTGGAGAAAAATCCTGAACTTGCTATTATGGGATCGTGCGTTCTAGTGATGTTGATGAAGGATCAAGATGTATATGTCATGAATCTGGGAGATAGTCGTGTGATTTTGGCTCAAGAAAGATCAAACGATCGTCATCCTAATTCTATTTCTGTCAAGGATGACCTTAGGCATAGAAATCGATCTAGAGAGGCATTAGTACGCATGGAGCTGGATAGGATTTCAGAGGAGTCTCCAATTCACAACCAAAACAATCATGTCATCAAGATGAACAAAAACCGTGAGATATCCTTTTGCAAATTAAAAATGAGGGCTCTGCAGCTTTCTACAGATCACAGCACCAGTATTGAAGAGGTCTGTCCCCCATCCTAGCTAGAAAGAAAATTTCCGTAGTATCTGAGAAATGTCTAATTAAATATTTTTCAATTTCTGTTTCCTGCAGGAAGTATGCAGGATAAGAGCAGAACACCCTGATGATAATCAAGCCATATTAAATGATCGAGTGAAAGGACATTTAAAAGTTACTAGAGCATTTGGCGCCGGTTTCTTGAAGAGGGTCAGTTGATCATCTGACTTTGACTCATCTGAATTCAGTTTGATCTCTTTGTCTATGTATATACGTTTATATTGTGAGATATATGTCCTCAAGCTACTTATTAAACTGGCACTGTTTTTTTTTGTGTGCCTAATGTGGAATCATTTAGGCCTTTTCTAACCTCTATGCTGTTTTGGTATAGCCGTCTTTTAACGAAGCTCTACTGGAGGTGTTTCAAGTTAATTATGTCGGCTCTGCTCCTTACCTAAGTTGTACCCCTTCTGTTCTTCACCACCGACTTTCCTCAAGTGATCGATTCTTGGTACTATCCTCTGATGGGCTTTACCAATATTTCAGCAATGAAGAGGTAGTTGCCCATGTCACTTGGTTCATGGAAAATGTCCCGGAAGGCGATCCTGCACAATACCTTATTGCAGAGCTTCTCTTCTGTGCTGCTAAAAAGAATGGTCAGTTTCATCACTTTCTACTCCTCGCGGATTTTATGTTTAAGAGCTAATATCTGAGTAAATTTTCACCTTCAACTTGGTCTCTATTTCAACTTTTCATAATTTTATGTGTGGACGAGCATTTGGTAAACTGAGGTTTGGAACCAAAATAGTGTATATTTGGTTTCAGTTTAGGTGAGGCAAAAGTGATTACAAAAACATAGAAATAAATTGTTAGAAAACGGTCACTTTTTTAGATACTTTCGATTTAGAGTCTACACACATACACACTGTCTTTCTTGTCCAAACATCTTGATTATAGTTCCATTTTCTGGGGGTGGCCCTACTCTCATCCTTTTTATTTAAGAGTAAGTTGTCATATAGGGTGACCCCTTAATTAGTCACATCCTTTGTATCGTTGAGCTGTAAAATCAACAATGTTGTATCGAAGTGGATGTCAGGAGGTAAAGAACCAAGATGAGAATAAAATAAGCGTAACAAAAAAGATGATGTTGCATTGGTTAAACTGGACATAATAGAACTAGAGATTCTGTCGAGTTTAACCAATGTTTGTTTTGGGCTTGGTGATGGTTTAGTAGACAATACCTGAATCTTAGTAAATGATTTCTGATTTTTTCCCTTTCAAATTACAGGCATGGACTTTCATGAATTGCTTGATATTCCTCATGGAGATCGGCGTAAATATCACGATGATGTATCTGTCATGGTCGTTTCTTTGGAGGGAAGGATTTGGAGATCATCGGGATAGCCCTTGTTTTAAGTGGTCGCTCTGTTTAATTTTTGGCTAGGTGCCCCCATATTTGTTGCATATTATCTTGATATTGAAACAATTTTGGGCCAGTAAAATGATTTTAGAAATCAAAGTTAATTAGTCTTTTGATATATACTTTTTCTTCTAATCCACCGTTGTCCTATTTTAGAATTTACCCTTATGTTGACCCTGTGTTTTGTCATAGACTGCTCCTTGACTCCATGTAACTAACCATTACAACTGCCTCTCGGATTGGGCAATGAAAGAAAAGAGGAGGGAGTGAGAAGAATTGAGCTGCGTCTGAAATTTGGATCTCTTTATATGCTAATTATAAATGTGTAAGAACACGATAAAGAATTCTACATACAATTTTTAAACTCCAAAATTATACACTAACCATAATGAACTCAATTAGTCAAAACTGCAACTCATTTTGTGCATGAGAACTAGTCTTTTTCTTCTAACTAGATTTGTTTGACAATTCTAGTTAGACTTGACATCCCCTGAGGCGCGTATGAAAAGAAAACAGTCTCTTGTTTATTCATTTCCTAAAATTTTGAAATTTATACGGAGGAGGTAAAATATTGAAAATTTTGAAGCGATATCGAAAATTTGGATCATCTACCAACAATTTTAAAATAGTGAATTTTTATACTGCTTTTTTTCAAAATTTTTGGTATTTCGTACCAAAATTTTTAAAATTTGTAGTGTTTACATTGAAATATATAACTGGGAGCTCGAAGTGTATCTGACAACACCCCTAAATTATGAAGGTGCATGAGGCATTATGGAGAACTGATTGATGTAACCAAATGCTCGAAGCGTATTTGACAACACCTCTAAATTGCGAAGTGTGCAAAGTGTTTGGGGGGGGGGGGGGGGTGTTATTACTGTAGTTGGACGAGCAAAATGTCTCTGATAGCACCCCTGAATCTTATGGTGGGCATCAACTGCGTTGGTTGTTTCATGAATTTTTGCTTTACTATCAATAATCACAAAGGAACAAACAATTTTGATCTTACCTGATCAGAAGGGAATCAGTGACCTGCCACGCGTCGTCGAACTGAAGGCTGTTCTCCGGAAGTAGGGAGGAGGAATGAGGAAGGGGTGTACCTGCAAAACACTCTGATGCCAAAGTAAGTAATGGACCAGAGTGAGAGCAAATACAAAAGAGAGATAGAGAATTGAATACCTGACCCTCTAGTGAAAGAGGGTATATATAGAGAGACCCCAGCGCAGGGCCAACAGTCACTTGTGTTGGCCTGGATCGTCAGGCCCAACCCAGGTGACTGCTAGGGCTTATGTGGCATAGTGAAGACCAGCACGTGGTCTTCGCCCTAGTTCAACCGTCCCGTGATCTCCGGAAGTTGGGCTGACCAGCTTTTTCGGAGGTGGGTAGTTGGCTGATGACTTGTCCCCGCGGAAGGGGCACGTGGAGAACGTGTGGAAGACGTGTTATTCTGCCCGACGGGGGAGAGGAAGCCTGTCCAGTGTGCCTAGAACCGTGCCCGACACTGGGGATTTGGGCATTCCCCAAATAGCATTAGGTTGGGCCTGCTCGGCAGATGGGCAGGCCTGGGCCCAGTCCAGAACAGGAGCCCCCCAAGTCGTAGCTCCAAAGCAAAGGAGCGAGGACTTGTCGATAACTGTGTCGGGGAGGAAGAAGGTGCGAGGAAGAACCTTTGTCGGTCTGCCGAATCGAAGACGCGGGCGCGGGGATCCCGGTCTTGTCGGTCCGTCAGCTCGAGGAGGGGGAAGGTTGGCGCGTTCTCGCCTGTCTGTGCTCGCGGGGAAGAACGAAGGGACGTGACTGTTTGTAGTGGCCACGTGTCTAATAGTCAATGGGCCACGTAGGGTGGCTACCCTAGGGTACTCGAGTGCCTATGGGCGTTTCGAGTCCCGTGCTGGGCTTATAAATAGGCAGGAGGCCTCCCCTTTACCACTTTTCGCATTCTCTTGCTTTCGCACGTGACATTTGATCTCCGCACACGCTGTTTGCAGTTCATCGCCACCGTCACGTCTGCCGCGTACTCTGCCATTTCTACCAATCCAGTAAGTTCTCTGCCTCTATTCCTTTATTTTCTTTAGATTCGACGCTGTCGTCGGGGGCATGATGAATGCCCCGAGGAGGGCGTAGGTTTTCCGTCGACTACGGCGGAATATCCTTTAACTTAGGATGAAGGCGCCGAGGACATTTGGGGCGACAGGATGAGTGTCTCGGGGACGATCGACATGATGAGAATGGGTACCTCAGGGATAAAGCACAGTTTTGGATGAACACCCCGGGGACGTAGGATAAGGACAGATGAACACCCCGAGGATGTTGAATAAGACTGGATAAATGTCTCGGGGAGGGACGCCCAGGCGGAGATGGACGCCGCGAGCTCTCGCCGAGTTGTGGTCGTCGTCCCTATCGCCCTTTCACTTGATTTGTGGTGGAAGGGTGAATTTGATCTTGAACGTCGAATTCACCATTTCCTTCTGCTTTTCAGGGAAATATGACCTCGTAGGTGCCGGGGACCATGGAAGTCGATGTGGAGCCGGAGGTTCCCGTTGTTGAGGTTTGTGCTCGTACTGTCGAGGACTGGGTTGCCGAGGAACCATTAAATACGCCGTCTTACTTTATCGACGACGATACCGGCGCCTACGCGACTGTCGAAGACCGCTGCGAGGGCTCTCCTATTTGTTGGCGGGTGTACCGACCACGAGACTATCATCGGATATGCTCGACGTACGGGAAGATGAGGTTCCCGATGTACGAGTTTTACTTCCGCGAGGCCGGTCTTAGGCTGCCTTTTACTGATTTCCAGCTGGGCGTCTTCGACTGGCTGAGGTTGGCCCCCTCAGTACTGCACCCCAATGCCATGGCCTTCATCCGGGCGTACGAGCTCGTTTTCTGGCATTTGGAGATCGGGGCCACTCTTACGTTGTTTTTTCGCCTTTTCCATCTGCAGAGGCAGACAGTGGATGACCGACAAGGGTGGGTTTCACTGAAGCAGCTGAGGAGACTCTTCCGGGCATATATGGACTCTGTTCGGGACTTCAAGGCGCGCTTCTTCGTGGTTCGGCCCGTTTCTCTCGAGGCGTGCGCCTCTCTGTATCGACGAGAGGCCTGGGAAGTGGACGGGCAGCGGGAGGAAGTTATGGTGCCGATGGTGCCCTTGGAGTGGACGGAGGAGCACTTCAAAAAGGGGACAAATCACTACATCGTGCGGGCAGGGACTATGGATGAGGAGGACCTGGTGGGCTACCAGAAAATAGTGTCCTTTGTGGCCAGCTTCTCCCCGACCAAGCTGGTGACGCCCGACGGGAACTTCATCCTCGACAGCCGAGGGAACGTTCGCCAGCAGAAGAGGCTGATAAATACGAAGGCTCTGCTCGAGTGTTCGTCCGACGAGGAGGCTCTCCGTTTCCTAGGTGGTGGGCGGTAACCTGCTCGACATTTTGACCCCGTTTATCTCTCTTTGCTAATCCTTTTTTTGTTTTGTTTTGCAGGAAGCATGTCGACCATCGAGGAGCGAGTGAGGAAATTGGCATCTTCCAGAGCCGCGACCAAAAGCGGGAAGGGCAGGGTCGCCCAAGTGATGCAGCAGGTTGTTGTTGTCCAAGGAGGAAGGGGGTCCTCGCCGTCGCCTCAAGGCAACCACTCCCCGACGTTGCAAGGGACCACGAAGCGGGCAAGAGTTCAGTCGTCCGACGCCGTTGTCGACCTCACGAAGGGAATTTCCGAGGAGGTATTTCTCATCCCCCTTGCCATCAGAATCCTGGGTTCTTCCATGGCGCCAGGTCGCCAGCTGTGTCGTCCTCTGAAGCGAAAGTGGTCCTCGGGGCGAGTCGCGACGTTCGTCGACAGGTGCTTACCGAAGATCTGACTGCAATGATGTGGGTTTTCTCGACCGCTCTGAACTTAAGTGATGAGGGCTGCTCTTCTGCCGAGCTGGCTAAGTTGCAGGGAGACCTCGCTTTTGCTCAGTCGAGGTTGACCAAGCTGACCGTAGAGTTGGATCTGAGCAAGGAAGAGGTGGCCGCGCAGTGCAAGAGGGGCATCGAGGTTGAGGACAAGGTGAAAGCTGCCGAGGAAGAGTTGTCGAGGCCTCGGGCTCGTGTGGAGGAGCTGGAGAACTCACTCTGTCCTGCGGAGGATGAGACAGAACAGGATAAGCTTTTGTTTTCTCGTGCTGATCTGCTGGGTAAGATCCGCGAGCTTGAGCACGACTGTCTGGGAGCGGTTGAGGTTGGATTCTCCAATGCCGTGGAGCAGATCAGGATCGTGAATCCCGAGGTCGCTTTGGTCACCAAGGGGATTGGGCCCTACCACCAGGTCGTCGAGGGACGGGTGGTCGCGATTGATCCCGAGGTTGATGAGAACGCCACCCCGGTCGATGAGCCTGAGGGAGATCGTCTCGAGGACTAGTGTCATACCCCAAATTTTGACCACCTTAGATCCTCATTACCATTTTTAGAAGCATGATCATGCATTATCTAACCCTAAATCAGTGCAAGTTTATTATTGTCAAGTTACAGATGAATCAGGGTTCTCGCACCGACAAATTCAAAACAATCAAGGAATGATCAACCAATGATTTGGGCCAATTCAATCATGGAATGAAATCAAAGACAATATCAAAGTCAAATGGGAAGTCAATTTGAAGAAATCGTTTCAGAATCAAGAACAGTGCAGTCAGGAGGCCCCGATTAGGGTTTTTAACCAGTGGAAAGTCAACTGTGGTTTGACTTTGATGTTGGGAAATGTTTTAATGGTGGGAGTGAGGTCCATGAAGTTAATATAGGCTATTAAAGACTATTCAAGAAGTGTCAAAGTCCCAGGATGTCCAGAATATCAACAGGCGACTCGATCGGCACCGATCGATCGTACGGTTGACCGAAAAGTCAACTCCTCGAATTTTGAGAATTGGAATCCAAGTTGTGAATCAAAGTTGTTCCTTATGTCATAATGGACTTGCATATCAATTTTCATGGTCATTGGATCAAAAATG